GATTGTTAATATATAAGAAAATATATTTTCTTTTGCATTAGGGTGGTAATTTATCAACGTCTTTTTGATGGGTAAAACCCAAGGTGGATTTTCTAATGATGACCCAACCCCAAAGAGGTAAAACAGCCTTATTTTAAGCCTATTTTCATTTTGTTCAGCAATGTTATTCTTACTACTAATATTTTTACTTTATGCCATATGTGGTACAATGTGCTATTTTAAAACAATTCATATATCCCTGGAATGGATAAACAGACCTCAAAGAATCACTATATTGCTCTAAAGTATATAATTAGGAATGCAAATGTACAGTAATTGACAAACGTGCTGTTAAAAGATCACCTTTGAAATCGCATGAACGAAAGAAATGTTCTATGTACAAATGCATGTCTCCATCTGCTGGTCACTTGTGATTTACTTGATGAAATTTTATACTGCCTGTCATGAAAATGAATATTTACTAATATTGATAATCATCACGTTATTCAATCATTATTTCTCTTTTATCATGGTGGTGACATTATTTATTACTAGTGGTAGTGGTATAAGCTGTTGTATATTATATAATAATAATAATGGTATTTAAATACATTTAATAGCATTAATACTGATGTGAATATGAACACAGAAACACATGGTATACAGTGTGGAAAAACCGCATGAAAGAACATTAAAGAAAACTAATATGTTAAAACTATTTTTTTTTAAATCATGCATAATCTTGCACAGCTTTGCTCTGATTTGGTCGAGCCCTTACTGTCCTCATATTCATATTCAGATGAGCCACCTGTGTGCTGTCGATTGAAGACAAAAATGAGTAGTTGTGAGAACAAAAATACTTGGTATATACTGCAGACAAAGATAAACTTGCAGTTAAAGCAACTTTACAACAATTTTGTCATCTACAACAGGTTTTGTGCGTCCACTAGTGGACCGTTATCAAACTACAAACGCATTACCAAACATTGCATTTTAAAAACTTCTTTATCCATAACAATATTCATACAGTACATTTCTAGCTCATAAAGAGACGTATTTGTTGTAAAACTGCACACTAAACTTGTTAATAACTAAACTTTTATTTAAACTTTTTTTTAACAAAATCAAATAGCATAAAATAAATTAAAATGTTTACAATAATACACAAACAATAAATTATTATTAAAAGCTCTGATCACTCATTACATTTCAATATGAAAAAGACAGTTGATTCACTATAATACTTTTGAGGTTGGCCATTGCTATGTCATGCTTTTATATGAAACACCACTTGTTTTTTAGTGTCTTGTTGTCATTTGTTTCTTGCCCCCTTACACATGTACAGCATTTTCTTTATGCATTGTACAATTAGATGATGATCAGTAATAGCTGTCTTGTTCAGAATTATTGGGTGAGTTGCATAAAGCCTCTAGTTCTCCAGTTTTCTCCCTCAATGTATTTATGAGGCCAGACACACCCTGACTGTAGAGGAGGCGATCCCCTGCAACATTTTCAGCTGCCTTCATCACATCCTTAATGGCCTTTATCACAGGCTGCCAGAGGACGAATCGTTGTGTTTGTCTCTCCAGTACAGTGACTCTACCCCTAAGAACACTCACAGCGTTCACAGCCTTCCTGACAATTTCTTGAAATTCAGCTGTGACCTCTAGATGCTGGTTCACCTCTTCAGTCTCCCTCTGAATTTTATTCAGCACCTTATCAGTCTCTTCAATCTCATTCTGTATGCTAGAGATCCTGGATTGGTAATTAGACACTTTCTTGCTGTTCTCATTCACCTTAGACTCATTTTCTTCAAGCTCATCTTCAGCATCCCTGATAGCCCTTGAAGCCTCATTAATTAAACGTTCTCCCTCACAGATCATGATTGAACCTGGAGGAAAAACAAGAAATCACATGAGCCACAAATGATGTTTAGTTGTACTCTTTAGGATGATGATAAAAGGTAGTAGTGGATCAAAGAGGATTTCTCACCAGAAATCCATCCAATAAATGGTAATGCAAGCAGTGCTGCCCCTGCAATCACTAGCCCATCACCTGTGCTCTTCCTGTCTTGATGTACTCTTAAGGCATATTTTGCTGATTCTACATTTTTTTCTGCCTGCTCCAAAGCTGCTTTGGCATTCTTTAACAATTCTTCAGCAGAGTTCTTCTCAGTATTTAATTTATCATTGGCCATACATTTTTCCTTCTTCTGCTGCTCATAATTTCCTTTTTCTTTAGTAAATCGCTCTATGCATTCATCCAAAGATCCCAGTTTTTCTTTACTTATCGTCTCAGATTTTTCCAGGCACCGCTCAGTGTTCTCAATATGTCCCCTGGTTTGTTTGTAATTGGAGCACATGTCAGTGGTTTGATCAACTTGAGCATCAAAGAGAGACTTGCAAATGTTACAGAGAGAGAAAATTCCCTCATTAAGAGGCTCAACAGCTGCCTCCATAGACTGCAAATCCTTAACACTGTGTGAAGATGAGAAAAATTATTTTTTAAAAATTGTCAAAAATATTAACAACAATATTTTGAGAACAGGGACTAGATTAAAGAAAAACGTAGATATTTGAAACAGTCTCATTTCAGCTGTCATACTGAAACACAAAAAGAAAGAAAATGAATGATATTGTGTGTGTCACGGAAACCCCTGCCTCACCAGCCGAATCAGCCTCCTACACCCGCTCACAATCACCTGATTACTGATCACGGACACCTGCACCCACTTACCACACCCCTCAAATACTCACTCACCTCATTCACTCATCGATTGGCCTCAAGGTTGCAAGCTATTCTGTCCTGGTTCCTCGACTTCCACTCTGCCTGTTCCCCTTGGAATCCTCAGTTCTCGGCTGCAGGACCGGAGTGCCGACCCAGATAAGACTGTGTTTTGCTTCCCTTACTGCTTATGTTGAACTCTTTTCTGTTGGAAGCCTCTCTTAAGTTCCTGTAAATAAACCTTCTGTTTAACGTTCTCCTGCCTGTCTGCCTCTTTGTCCCGGTTGTGACAGTGTGTCATTAAACCGTGCTGTTGACTTATTTAGCAAAACATTTTGGAGTAATTTTAAGTACTGTTTTTTTTAAATTCACAACTTCAAAACCAATTCAAGGAAAAAAAATATTGAATCTTAACAGAAAAATGTTGTAAGGTAATGAGCTGATTGGTGAAGGATTAATTAGGAATATCACACTAAAATTATATTGTTCTTAATATCAGCACATAATGGTAATATTCTGTCATAAATTGAGTTCTTTTGTTTTGTAGTAATTCATTAGTCCTATTTTGTGCTTTGTTTCTGTTTCCTTTTCCCCTGCCTGATTGTTCTCACCTGTTCCTTGTAAGCCACATTTTTCTTTGTGCATTTAATGCTGTGTTTCTTTTGTTCCCGGAAAGGTCCTTCATTTGGTAGCCTATATGTGCTTGGTTCTGGTTTCCAACTGGATGTTATCTAGTGTCTTGTCCTGTTTCTATACTTGCTGTTAATAAACTGCATTTGGATGTACCCTCTCACATTCTGAGACTCTCAGCCTTGCATATTCAGTAGGCTACAGCATGAGAGTGAGTCATTTTTGATGTCCAGGAATTTATAATGTTAACTTGTCCTTTAACTAAAATGCATGTTTTTGCATTCCAGGTTTCTGAGAGCTAATGATGCAGGGTCTAGGCATGCTGCCCACCCCTATATCAAAATATATATATATATTGCACACCCAAATATTACTTCTGACTTTCAATTACACTTTTTAAAGGGGTCAAATGATGCGATTTCAAGTTTTCCTTTCTCTTTGGAGAGTTACAAGTTAATGGTGCATAGATAAGATCCTTGAAGTTGCAAAGACTAAAGTCTCAAAACCAAAGAGATTCTTTATCAAAGTTAAGACACTGCCACGCCCCCCTAAAACAGCTCGTTCTAACACGCCCCCACATATCTACCTCACTGTGGAAATATTTGCATAATGCCACCCAAATGTGCACGCAAAGAAGGTGTGGGTTCAGTAACCGCAGTTAGTGTTGAAGCAGCATGTCAGGGAGACGCTCTGTGTCTCTAGGCGAAAGCAAAAGCACTTTATTTGGCCTTCCGAAAGTAGATGCATTTAGGAATCTTTAAGATTACTTACAACAGAACAGCAATGCATTTTATGGACGACCATTTCATGAACCTAGGAGAGGAGGTCATTCTGACTTTGCTATGACAATCTGGCGCTTCTGAATCAGCTACTGTTTTGTTATTAGTTTAAGTATTTGCTATTGACTGTTCAAATGCGGAGTTTTGCGCATCGTGTGTGTGCGCGCGCGGGGGAGTCACATCACATCACAAACACATGCAGCTTCATCACCGTATCTGTCACGCGACTCTGTTCCCCTTTCAGGCTCTGTCTTTACATTTATTTTGAAAGATGAAGCTCGCGATTATGGTAAGTGGCCTTACATTTCCAACGGTGTTCGGCCAATCACGATGCACTGGGTCAGCTGGCCAATCAGAGCAGACTGCACTTGTCGGAAGGAGGGACTTTGTAGAAAATGAAGCGTTTGAGAGAGGCGGGGCATAGAGGACCTACAATAATGTACAGTATTTTAAAAATAATGTGTTTTTTGAACATTAAAGCATGTCAACATTCTGTTACACCAAATAATGATCTTTAAAAAAGCATCATATGACCCCTTTAAAACCTAAACATCCAGTACCTGAGTAAGAGATGACCTAAAATGCAAATCCTCTTTCTAAAAGTTTGTCAGGTTTATAACAACAGGTTTTTAGTACTTTAAACAAAGCATTCCTTTGTCTACATTGTAAAAACAAATCAAATTATTATGGTGCGAGTTAACGCAAAACATAACAAACATAAGATGTGATATGAAACGACATGACAGTTGGATTAGAACATTTCAAGAGTAAGATACATTTTCATAATTGCAAACGTACCTGAAAGAGATACACATGCTTTATCTCTCTGTTTCTTTCTTGTCCAACGTAGACTAAGCTTCGTCATTCATGAGGATGGGGTATTTGTGCGATGGAGTATTAGATGCCTTTATAGCTTACCACCATAGAAATCCCCTATAGTTTTAATGGGACCAACTGCTTTTGTGGCTTACTGTAAACCACGTGTTTTGCTATTATTTGGATATTCGCCAGCGAAGCACTTTAATACATTTTATGCTTTGTAATGCAACAACCGCACTGGTGCAAAGGATTTGGGGAAAACTAGGGGGTTTCTCCTTGTACGGCTATAAAAGCATCTGCAGCTTCATCCATTCCATAAGACCGTTAACGGACCTGAACTTAAAGCATCTGAGATTTCGACAGGGTAAGGCAACTACTTTGGTTATTTTGCCGTTTTATAATGAATATAAATTTGATAATGAAAGCAGTTAAGTTGAAGTGTAGGTAGCTTGTTATAATTAAATTCAAATGATTATAACCTTACAGTTTTTAGAGTTTAAATATTTAGCAGAAAAGCGAAGAATTAGACCCACAACTAATTTGGAAATACACATTTGCACTTTTGAAAGGTAGGGATCTTTGTCTATTTCTATTTTTCCTGCCTGAGCTAATAATCAGATGCTGCAGATTTTTTGTATTTACTGTAACTTGTTTTTTGAATGTGTTTCTGCCCTAGTGTTATTCTAAAGTTAACTGATTTATTGTTAATAAATAAATTCATGCCAAATTATCTATACAGTTAGTTTTCAACCTGTTATTGTTCTGCTGGCAAAAGTTGACACCATTTCCGGACAACATTTTTCATTGCTCATATTAATTGCATATTCTGATCGCAAAGATATTTGAACTAATCTAATGTGATTGTGCTCTCTCTAGGATTACTGAAAGGAGTATACTGCAGTAATTGTCTGGTTATTTCACTCTTATAATTTCCCCCTTATCATTCCTTAAAATGTATTGTCAAATAAATAAATATATGGAGACCTATCTAAAATAAAGGAGATAAAAGCCTATTAAATCTATGCACACTTCTTTAAATTTGTATAACTTTTTTTTAATATATATAAAGTAGGACCTCTCCATAGAGCACATTGAATTGTCTCCACCATTATAACATTATCTACTCATTGATGTTTTTTAATCATAAACGATCTTTTTCTCTAGCCAAGAGCAGTCATTGAAAAATGTGCTGTTGTTTTCAGATCTAGATTACTGAAAATCACAAAAAAAAGCTAAATATTTTATGTTTTCTCAAGCAAAGCAAGTTTTGAAAGACCACTGAAAACACATTCTTATATTTTTGGCCTATTTTGAAAGTGCACATTATTTGGCAAAATGCTTGAGCAGACTGATAAAAGTGAACATTTCTGAAGATTTTATTTCTCAGGTTTTATAGAAATAGAAAATTTTTTAGATTTGTATAATTCTTTTCTAATTTTGTCTTGGCTTTGAGCACGCAGGAACAGGAAAATCATGGATTCTGCAATTTCAAAATCTATTCAAAGCCTTACCACTGCTGAGGACATGAGGAATGAAACCAAACTTATGATGCAGCCTTATGCCAACTGGGAAGAGTATCTGACTCCAGCACCTCTGTCCATAGCCATCCTGGGAGAGCTGGTTTTCATCTCTTCCTCAACAGATTTCTCTATCAATAAAAATCCCCCTAAAGATGGTTATAAATTCATCAGATACCCTGATTCCTTTCGCGCTTGCCTCATGCAAGTGTGTAACTCGGGTTGGTGGGCATTTAATGAGGCCCATACAAGCATGGATCAGATTCGCCTCCATACTGGCCAAGTTCCAAATTACATGAAGACAGCTGTGAAGATTCTGTTCCAAGGCGATGATGAAGTTGTCAAAGCACATCTTCCTGATCAGCTAGACAATATCAGAGTCATTGCAGATGAATGTCTGAGGTTGTCTGATGCAACTGAAAAGCGTTTCACTGATGTCATCAAAATCATCCAAGAGCTGCTAGAAGCGTGTGTGAATGCAGAGCACTTTTATGGGGAAGAGTTGGAAGCAGTCAAGAAGAAGCTGGAAGAGAGTAAACTGAGGGAGAAGACCGCTCTAGAGATCAATAAAAGGACTGAGAAGGCAATGAGAGCCATGGAGAAGGAACTGGATCAGGCTCATGAGAGCTACAAGGAAGCTCTGGATTCTCTCCCTAGTGGATGGGAAATGATTGGCATGGATATTGTGGGTGGAATAACACAGACTGTCACAGGCCTGATTAATGGAGTGGCATCTGTTATTACTCACCCAGTGAGAAACATGTGTTCTGCAACAACAAAGATGGCTGATACTTTGAACTACATTAGAGATCAGGAAGGCACAAGAGATGTGATTGCTGAAATAAATGCATATAGTAAGTCTGCTGAAATTTTAACATGTGTCCAGAATATCCAGCAGCTGATGAATGTGGATAGTGAGGATGATGACATTGACTGGACAAATCTGTATGATCAGAAGAACAAATGTACAAAAAGTGATTGCATAAATGGATATTTCAAAAGAATCACTGATAATTTAAAGGAAATCCCTAGCTGCCCTGCAAAGAAGCAAGCTAAGACGTTATGCAAAGATGGCATGGAAATATGCAGCCAGCTAGCAAAATATGCACCAGATGGCAAATGTGACAAAGACAAAAGTACTAAAATAATACAAGAGGTCTTGGATCTGATCAAGTCAGCTCATATTTTTGATTGCAAAAGCAAAGATATCACTAATTCTCCAGCCATTTCTCCAACACCACCAATGATGTTTAAAGAACAAAACAAGTCAGAGAACATGAGTGCTTCTCAGAAGGCCACGGAGAATGCACGGTACAAGATAGAGCAGAGCCGAGCTCAGCTGGACAAGTCAAGAGAGACCTATGAGAAGTGTGTGGAGAACCTAGAGAAGAACCAGATGGAACTAACTGAAATCCTGGTCTCTATGAGAAATTGTGATCTGAAAAAGATCGACTTCAATACTACCATAGAGATGCTGGTTAAAGGAATGGATGCCATGGGGAGAGTGAAGGAGCAGTGGGAGAAGATGGTTCACTTCTTTCAGATGGTTTCCAACATTGTGAAAACCAGCCTGAGCAAAACTCTCAAAAACTTTGTCTCCACATCAGAGAAAACACAAGCCCTCTCCTATAATGCAAAACTCTTCTCAAAAGATCTGCTCTACACTCAAGCCTTCCAAGCCTGTAACATCGCTAGTCTGGTCCATATGATCTCTGGAACATACACAGATGTTTCCAGCAAGTACCTGATGGACCGTGTCAGTTCACTGGGCAAACTGATGGCCATGGATAAAAGTAAACCAGAATTTGAGCACGAGCGAATACTGCTCCAGAACGGCTGTGACGAGGCACAGAAAGGCATTTTAATGCTTGTCCTGCAGAATAAAG